GTGTCACAATGAGCATGGTTACGTGTAGTGAGCGCACGTGTGTGTACTATTTGATGGTGCAGTGAGCGCACTTGTATGTGAATTGGAATAGAATGTTAAAAGTGTTATATCGTGTTTGTACAATGTATGTTCTGGAATTATGTTGGTAAATGGGTGAAATATGTGAGGTGAGTCTCTGTGCTTGTGTGTGATAGTATAGAGTACTCACCCTTACATTTATTTTTCAGGTGACCAAGATGATCAGCACTGGCTTAGTGAAGGGATGGATGAAACTGTTATAGGACTTAGAAATTTATTTTGAAAATTTTGATGTATTTCAATTGGTCCTGTAGCATTGATTTGATATGAATTATAATCCATTCTTATTTTGAGATACTTTACTGAACTTATGCATTGGAAACTATTTGAAATAAAATTTTATTATTTCCTCTTATTGTGAAATTAATTTATTTGAAAATTTAAATTAAGGTGTTACACCTTATTGGTAAATAATCCAAAAATTCTTTTAGAACTCATATCCTATAAGGGCCACTGACTTGCTTGATGTCATTAACTCGGATGTATGTAGACCATTTAAAGAACCTTCACAAGAAGGTAACAAGTATTTTTTGGACTTTATGGATGAGTTTAGTAGGATGATGTGGTTTACTAAATTAAGATCAAGAGTGAAGTTATTAGAGTTCTACAAAAGTTCAAAATTATGGCTGAAAAGTAAAGTGGCAATTGATTTTGAACACAAGCAATGGGTAAAAGAAATTGAAAAAAATTGCAAGCAAATTCCCAATTCTTAGAAATGTCTTTGCAATGGGTAAAAGAATAAGTTCATCCTTCCTCAACGCTAAGGAAATTAGCAAGACATAATAGAAATGAAGATGAAGAAACTGAAATAAATTGTAGAATGAATCCTCATGTTCAAAATAAAAGGAAACTATCAAAAACTATAAACGGTGAGAATCATTTTTTCACTACAAAGTAAAGGGATTGGAGAGATAAAACCTTATTTCCCATCAAAATCCCATAGAAAATTAAGAAGAAAATACCCTAGTCATCATTCCTATGTAAAAACTGTACGAAAACTTAAAATTCTGCGTTTTTGAAATGTAATAAAAAGATGTTATCTTTTTCAAAAAATTTTGTTTTTATATACTCGGTTAGACTCGTGTCCCCATAATCAGAATTGCATGTGCCCACAAATGTGTACTGTAGCAATTCAACTTTTGCTCTTTAAATTCAGTTGCCAGTTTTCTTCTAATCCTTTCAAAAATCAAATGTCAATCATCAATATTTGAATAATGCATCAAATTTACAGTAATCACACATTCCATTGAATATTCCAATTAATTGCACCAACTTATAGATTTAATTCAGTGAAATGAGCCATAAGCCTTTTAATTACTATATGAGTCGATGATTTATCATTTATCCATGTGCTCAAGACTAATGGAGAAGGTGAGTACACTTTAAACTTGTTTGAGGTGAAGAAAGTGGGATTCAACATGAGGTTACATCTCCTTACCCTTCACAACATAATGGGATGGCAGAGAGAAGAAATATAATAGTACTAGATAAGGAGAAAAACTTGCTAGATTCTTTCTGGGTTGAAGCAATTACTATTGCCACCTATATATTAAATAAGTGTCTTATAACGATTGTTGAATCGCTACCAAAACAACTAAATTTTCTCTAAGAAATTTGAAGTATAGAGTTCAACCTAGGTCGATTTACAGAGACACATATTCAGCTAAATTCAATTTCAGGATTTTACTAATTCAAGTAACAATTTGAGAATTTGTAAAATTTGAATCAATTGAATTAAAATTCTAAACGTAATTAAATTGATGAAAAACAAAATAGGAATAATCAATCCATAGATTCACAGATGCATGTAATTCCTATTATCAAAGTATCTCAACATTTTAAAACAACTCTAAACAATTATCTTATTTAATTATTAATTCAATCAAATAATCTAATTAAAACAGATTACAATTAAATTAAATTATCATTTAATCTAATCCGTAAATAATTATCAAATTAGAATATCTATCGAATCCTATTTTGAATTCTAACTCACAGAAAAGTTAATCATGATTATGAATCGCAAATCTGAGATTAGAGAAGAGGAGAATAAATTTGAAGCAAGTGAAACAAAACTAAATTTGGATTTACATCATTTTGAATTCGTGGATTGAATGAGAGATTTAACCTTCTATTGAAGTACTAAACTGAGCGTGAATGAGAAGAAGATGAGAATTCAGGAAGAGGAAAACTAAGGATTTAGAGAGAAGTTTTAGAGCCAAATCTAAAAATTCGAAAATAAAATTTGTCCAACCACTAAATTAGAGCCTCATTAGTCTATTTAAGTTTTGATTAGAGTAAACTAAATAGCCTAAATTCAAGCTTCAATTGTAATTAAAAGCCTAAATACAAATATTCAATTACAATGGTACAAATGTAATTCTGCATACAAAATTTAGCATATCTAGTTCAACTTCAAAAAATCATAAAAAATTGAAAATAATTCCAAATCTAGGGAATCTATACATGCATTTTGAATCCCTAGATGTCTAGAATCTAATGCAACTAGAATAAGCAAAAAAATGATATTTGTAGAAAAAAATTATGGCCAAAAGAGTAAGCAAAGATTAGAATAGCAAAAAATACGAAATAAAAGTATTTATGTATAATAAGCCCAATTTATTTCAATCACTAGAAAATGTTAAAAACTCTAAAAACAAAGCATATGAAAAGCATTTTGGAGTCAAAATAAATCTATAAATGTGAAAACAAAATATATGTTCCACCAAACAGTTGGAGAATCTGGTAGGAAACCAATTATGAAGCATTTGAGGATTTTTGGGTCCTTGTGCTACAAGCATGTTCCTGATGAAAGAAGAAAGAAATTGCGAGATAAAAGTGAAGCTATGGTATGAATTGGCTATCATCCTATTGGTGGAAACTTTATAATCCTTTGACTAATATAGTTGAAGTTAGCAAAGACATTATGGTGAATGAGGCAAAGAAGTGGGTTTGACAGATAATTAGCACTATGTCCAGTCTAGCAGTAAAAGTTCTGCTAGATGATACTCTAACTACAACATGGTCTCGAGCTACAAAGGGAATGATTCACTTATACCTACAAAGTCTCATCATAGGCCTTTGAGAGCTAAATAGATGCCTAAAAGTTTGCTCATTTTGAGGAGTGTCCAGATAATGTCATTAATGCAAAATGGAATTTTGTACATTTTACTTTATTAGCAGATGTTGAATCAATTACCTTAGAAGATGTGGTAAAAGAGGAAGCTTGGCTGTAAGCTATAAAAGAAGAGTTAAGAGCCATTAAGAGGAACAAGACTTAGGAGTTTATTAATTTACCTTTTCACAGGTGGCTAATTGAAGTTAAATGAATGTATAAGCTGAAATTGAAGTAGGATGGGTCAAATGGTAAGTACAAAGCTAGGCTAGTGGCAAAAGGATTCTTGCAGAAAAGTTAGCCTAGATTATTCAAAGGTTTTTGCACCAGTTGCCAGGATTGAAACTATTAGGGGGGAAGGAGGGGGAGTAGTAGCTTTGGCAATTGGAATGAAGTGACCTATATGGCAATTGGAATGAGGTAACCCATATTTCAGCTTAATATGAAATTTATCTTCGCTAGTGGGCCACTTGAGGAAGAGGTTTATGAGTGTTAACCACTTGCCTTTGAGGTGAAATATGGTAAAGGAAGGTCTATAAACTGGGGAAAGCTTTATACTGGTTGAAACAAGCCTCTCAGGAATGGAATAAGAGAATTAACTCATTTCTTTTTCAACAAAATTTATGCATAAGCTCAATTAAGTATGGTGTTTATATATATGGATGGTCTTTTAGTCACGGGAAACAATTCTCAAGAACTTAAGGAATTCAAGGTTTGCATGAAATCTTAATTTGATATGATAGATATAGGATTTGTATCCTATTTTCTGGGAATGGAACTTGTAACAACTAAGATGAGAATGCTACTACACCAGAAAATATATCTTACTGATGATGAAAATTGATATGCAAATATTATTTAATATCAACGAGAAAATGTGACTACACATAATCAGAGCCTATGACTCCCACAGAAATTTCAATAGCACTAGAATTTTGCCCTATTGTTCTCTAACAAAATGTAACAACTTATTTGGTCTTATCATGCCCCTTCTAACAACTTATTTCTCACTCTTATTTGGTCTCTCTACATTAGGACAAGTTGGGGCAAAATAATAAGGCACATTAGAGGAGTCGATGAGGGATAACAATGGTTTGTGGAAAAAGGAGAATGAGAAAAGAAGGCATAAGGGAGGATTCTTTCCTTTAGAAGTGTGAGACAATGTCAAAATTTTGTACAAACTCTAGCCAGGGAAATATGAGGAATTAAAATACTATGTTATCTTCTTTAAGAATTAAATAATTTAATGGATAAACGAAATTTGCTTATCTGAAAGATTAAAATTAAATAAGTACAAAAATTGGAGGATAAAAAATACGATTAAACATTAAAATTTAAACATCCAAATCTAAAAGAATTTTATTTAAAATATATTTATTACATTAAATTTATAAAAATAAATTACGCTTTTTATTTACACTCTTTTTTTCTTCTTCCGGGTAGTGTCGTGCTTCCTTATACAGACACAACACCTCGTATTCTGTTTCTGGTTTGAGTCACCACTTTTTCTCTACCGTTTCGTCGTGTTATTTTATGGCATCTTCAGTTTCCCTTTGCTAACATGCACATTGCTTCACTGCTCCATAACTCAGAAACCTCATTTCCTCATCTAAACCAAGCATCACTCTGCAAAATCATCACATATGGTCCACATATTTAAGAGATTCACACTTCTCAACTTGATGTGCATTCTTTAACTAGTTATAAGTCATTTCACAGCTGCATATTCATTTCTCAACTCAAGTTACAAAGTTTGTCTCTTTTCCTTTCATTATTTGTTTTTTTTTTTTTCTCTTTTTGGACAAAAAACACAAAGAAAAGAAAAATAAAGTTTAACATTCTCCTGTTTCTGAGTTCTACCTTCTGTCTGCCTTTGAGTTATTCAGATCTCTATCTCTCTTAAAAAATGCCAAGCAAACTCTTTTTAGTTATCAGTGATTGATTTTGTGACAGTTTGAGTTTTGCATTGTTGAAAATAGCTTTTATCATTTGTTCATTTTTCCGAGATCTTCTTGTTTTCTTCAATTATTTGCAACATTCAAAGCTTTTCCACTGCAACATCATTTTCACCTTTCAAAACTCTGTCTCACTGAGCCCTGAACGGTTACTGCACACTGGAAAATGGTTTACCTCATTGGCCTAATTTGGGCCCCATTTTTGTCTAAAGTTTCAATTTTTATCACTCTAACTTAATTATTTTTTTTCACTGTTATTTTGCTTCCTCTTAGGAATCTCCTGCCTTCGTTTTGCTACAAAGTCACACATGGCTCTAAACAATTTCCAATTTCAAGTTGTTTTGTCTAAGCAATCTTGCTAGCTTGTCGATTTGTTTCTGGGAATTGCAAAGTTTTTTTTTTGTTTTTTGTGATGTTCATGGTAGCTGGCAGCTTCTTGAATTTCTGAGCTTTTGACTATTCTTCAGGTACCAAACTCTCTTTTTCTACCCCACTTGGATCTTTTGAGATTTTCTTCTCTGCCCTTCAAACTTTTGGTCATTCTTTACCTAATATTCTTAGAAATTTGGTGTTTTGAGTTCTTTATCATTTCATCACTAAACAGCACTTTGGGGCTTTGGAAACCAAAAGCCTCTATCTTAGCTTCTCTCTTCCCAGTTGTTATTGATGATTATGAGGTGGAGTTCAATGTGCTTCACATGTAACTGAGACTTGGAGAATAGGGCTGATTGTTATAACTCTTAGTTTTTCCCTTTTAGCATATCTAGATATGCTTGAACAGCAAGAGGGTTGTCTCCTTAGATCACCATTTTTGCTATGTATTTCCATTGGCTTCTTAATGTATCATTCTGTTGTGGAAGCTGAGATTCCATTAGGTTCCAAACTTTCTGTGGTTGATAATGATTATTGGGTTTCCTCCAATGGTGATTTTGCATTTGGATTCTTCAACATTTCAGACCAATCTAAGCAGTTTAGTGTTGGCATTCGGTTCAATTCCAATTCGATACCATATAGCCAACAAACTGTGGTTTGGGTTGCTGGTGCTCAGGTCACAGTTGGTAATATGTCCTACTTTGAACTCACTCAGGAAGGGGAATTGGTCCTGTTTGATTCCTCACAAGAGGTTTCTGTTTGGACCAGTGAAACGCGACACCGATCTGTGGTTTCAGCTGCCCTTCTTGACAGCGGAAATCTTGTTCTGATGGATAAAGGGAAAAACATCATTTGGCAAAGTTTTGATACTCCATCTGATACACTTCTCCCAGGACAAAGTTTATATGCGAATTCTTTGCTTCGAGCTGCAAGCAAGAATTCCAAGTCCAGTTACTATAGTCTTCACATGAATGCTTCAGGTCATTTAGAGTTACACTGGGAAAGTAATGTTATCTACTGGACAAGTGAAAGCCCTTCTGTTTCAAATCTCAGTGCTTTCCTTACAACCAGTGGAGCTCTAGAACTTAGAGACCAAAGTTTGAAACCTGTTTGGTCTGTGTTTGGAGAGGATCACAATGATTCTGTGAAATACAGATATCTTAGGCTCCATGTGGATGGAAATCTTCGCTTATATTCGTGGGTTGAAAGCTTAGGATCATGGAGATCGGTCTGGCAGGCTGTTGAAAATCAGTGCAAGGTCTTTGCAACCTGTGGTCAACTTGGTGTCTGTGTCTTCGATGCCTCAGGTTCTGTTGATTGCAAATGCCCTTTTGAGGCAACTGGGACCGGCAAATGTTTAGTTCAGGATGAACAGGAGTGTGAATCTGGCTTCAATATGATAGCATACAAAAACACTTATCTATATGGAATCTACCCTCCTGATAATTCTATTATCACAAGTAGTTTGCAGCATTGTGAACAGTTGTGCCTGAACGACTCACAATGTACAGTTGCAACCTTTTCCAATGATGGAACTCCACAATGTTCGATAAAGAAAACTGAATATGTCACTGGTTATTCAGATCCATCAGTAAACTCAATATCATTTGTTAAGAGATGTTCAGGTCCATTTGCTGTAAACCCAGGTCTCACTAAGTCCCCTCCTTCCGATCCACCTCCTAGGATTTGTTTTTCTTGTGTGATAGGAGCTTCTACAGGAACATTGTTCGTCTTTGTTATTCTGCAGGCTGGAATTGGGTTCTTCATCTACAGAAGAAAGAAATCTACCAGGAGAAAAGCCACTTTAGCTTTCACAGGCCAGAACTCAAAGGGTTTAATTGTGTTGTCCTTCTCAGAAATCAAGAGCTTCACTGGGGATTTCAAGAATCAAATTGGGCCAAAGGTGTTCAAGGGTTTGCTACCAAACAATCACCTGATTGCAGTTAAAGACCTGAACGCATCCATAGAAGAAAGGAAGTTCCGTAGTGCTGTTATGAAGATGGGTAGCATCCACCACAAGAACCTTGTGAAGCTGGAGGGTTATTGTTGTGAGTTTGATCATAGATTTTTGGTTTATGAGTATGCCAAAAACGGTTCAGTGGACAAGTACATAGCTGATTCTGCTCTTTGCAGGAAGCTAACATGGAGAAAGAGAGTTGAAATATGCTCAAGTGTGGCTAGGGCCATATGTTATTTGCACTCAGGGTGCAGGGAGTTTATAAGCCATGGAAATTTGAAATGTGAAAATGTTATGTTGGATGAAAACTTAGGGGCCAAGGTGACTGAATTTGGGTTTGCTATTGTAGATGGTAAGACAACATATTGTGGCTTTTCAGCTGAGAAGGATGTAGAGGATTTCGGCAAGTTAGTTTTAACCTTGTTAACGGGGTGTTGTGATCAAGATCACGTTGAACTTTGCAAGTGGGCATATAGAGAATGGATGGAAGAGAGGGTAGCCAATGTGGTTGATAAAAGAATAGAAGCTGGTTACAATTCAGAGGAATTGGAGCGTGCATTAAGAATCGCGTTTTGGTGCCTTCAAATGGACGAACGTAGGAGACCTTCCATGGGGGAGGTAGTAAGAGTACTTGATGGTACATTGAGTGTTGATCCGCCACCACCTCCATTTGCCTTGCAAAGGCAATTGCAGGTAGATGATTCTGAAGAAAATGGCTCAGAATTGGAAGTGTAGATGCTAGCTCAAGTTTTAGGAACTTTGTTCATTTATTTTGCATATTAGTTGCTTTCATATTTTGTGTATAGTAGGACTAACTTCTAGATGACAAGAAACCATGCTCATTGTTTTTTATCCCTTTAACTGTATGGGAAAGTGACTGTAATCTGTGAAGATGTTGCGGTTCATTTAAAGATCTGCGACATCTATGCCTCTACTTCACCACATAAATGAGAATGAGCATTATGGTTTTTTTTTTCTGTGTTGGGGTATTGCTTATTCCCTTGTTACTTAATATACAGAAGTAAAGTTTTCAATTTTTAGTTTAGATGCATTCCATCCTAGTGATTCTGTAGTGATGCTTGCACTGACATGCTTCATACATACTCTTCTCATAAGATGATATTCTGGGTTTCATTACGACTATTTTTTGTGAATGTAAACTCAAGATGTTGTTTTACATTGAATGTCTGATTTCAAATTTAAGGTTGTTTTATTAACGAGTAAACAACCAAATTCTTGAAAAATGTCAAACAGGATATGTACATTATTTAATAACTTTTCATATAATATAAAATTAACTGATATAACTGTTAATCTTATGATTACATACATTATTTTTGTAAAATTTTATAAAAAAAATTAATAGATATTTTACCATTTTATTTTATTCTAACAAGTATTATTTTTTAACATATAAATAAATATTAAATTTTGGATGATATATCTATAAATGTCAAATTGTGTAAAATTTAATATTTATTATTATAAAAATAATATAAGATGATTCAAAAGTTTGATTAATTAAATTTATATTATATGAAAAATTATTAAAAGATATAAATATTTTATGTGTTATGTATATTATTAGAAGGGTGGTGGAAGATATCCAAGTTCAAATTCAAATGAAAAATATGATTTTGGGAGAACGAACATAATGTTTGGTTTACTAATATGAAGTGTTTGTTTCCGAACGTACAATTGATTAAAAATAATATATATATATATATATATATATATATATATAAGTTTAAAAAGTGATTATAAGTTTATATTTTAAATAAAACTATTAAAAGTAAGTTATTTTGCTTGAACAATTTTAATTTAAATTGAATTTACCAAATTATTATTTGTCGAATCGTAGAGATTAAGACAAAACACCTTAAACATGCCCGTTTAGCTCAGTTGGGTAGAGCTCAAGGCTCTTAACCTTACTGTGGTCGAGCCCCCTGGTGGGCGATTTAAAGTTATTTCTATGTTTTCTAATTTCAAAGTTCTTTGTTTTTTTATCATGAAATTTAAAAATTTCTTTTTAAAAAAGTATAGAATCTTAATTTAAAAATTATTTTTGTAAATGGCTAAATAATTTCAAGAATTAATTTTTAGAAGTGTAAAAATTAAATTTTAAGAATTATAAAATCCTAATTTTGAAAATTTATTTTTGAAAATGATTAATAAAAATTCAATTTCTAAATTTATAAAATCCTAATTTTGAAAACTTATTTTTAAAAATGATTAACAATTCTGAACATTATTGTCCGGCAGTGTAAAAACTTAATTATGGAAATCAATTTTCATAAGCGTAGAATCCTATTTTAAAACATTTATCTTTAAAAATAATTAATAATTTTAAAAATTAATTTCTGGAAATGTAAAAATTGAATTCTGAAAATTAATTTTTGAAAGTGTAAACTCTCATTTTAAAAATTTATTTTTAAAATAATTAATAATTTTAAAAAATAATTTCTGGAAATGTAAAAATTGAATTCTGAAAATTAATTTTTGAAAGTGTAAATTCTCATTTTAAAAATTTATTTTAAAAATATTTAATAATATTAAAAATTAATTTCTTGAAAGTGTAAAAATTAAATTCTGAAATTTTTTTTGAAAAGTGTAGAATTTTAATTTTAAAAACTTATTTTTAAAAATTTAATAAATTTTGAAATTATTTTCAGAAGAGAAAAATTGAAAATCTAAGTAGTATTCATGAGCTATTTTTTTAAGATAATTTTTTTTATAGTACGTAAAAAATGGAAGTATTTGAAAAATAATGATACTTAAAATACAGTATAAAAAAAGTGATAAAAAGTGAAACTTAAAGTAATGAAAAGAAGAAAAACAAAATAGCACTGAAAATAAAGGGTGGAATTTTAAAATAAAAAATTATTATAAAATTTTAAAAATAAAAAATTTATTAATTAAAATTATTATTAAAAGTATTTAAAAAATTACATAAAAAAATTAAAAAGCGTATAAAAAGAATAAAAGGGTGCAAAAAGCAATGAGCCCTGCTAATATTCTTGTCAATGGGCAATTTTTTATTAGGTCTGCTACTTGGGATTGTCCCACACTCTACACCCGGCTCGATTAATTAGGTGTAACTTAAAAAAAAAAAATGATAAACGAAGAAAAAAAGCTATTTTGGAGGCAGATTTCAAACTCAGAAAAAAATTATATTTGTTTGATTCATTAAAATCAAAGTTGGTTTTTTTTTTTAAAGCAATTATGATTGATTCCAGGCTTAAAAAATTATTGTTTTGTGTTGAATTAAAATTTGTATAGTAAAATTACATTTAAAACAAAAATGTTAATTATACATAGAGATAGAATATATTGACACCAGTATAAGTTTAAAAGACTTACATTAAATTCTAACCATATAAATCAAATAATCTAACGATTGAAAAGTTACTTAAAAAGTATATAAAAAAAAATATAATAAAAAAAGATAATTTTTTATCTGTTAAATTATTTAATTTATACAGTTGAAATTTTATGTAAATCTCCTTAAATGTATAAATTCTTTTAAAGTTTTAATTAAATTAATTTAATATAAATAAAATTAAATTTATCAAATCTAATAATAGTTGATTATAATAAAAATAGATTTTGACTCTTAATATGAAATCATCGTATAAATTTTTTATTAGTTAATCATATTTTATACTTACACTTGATGTGAATGGATCATATATTTTAAGAGTATAAGTTCTTTAAAATTTTAATTAAATTAATTTGATATAAATAAAATTAAATTTATCAAACTTAATAATAGTTTATTACAATAAAAATAAATTTTGGCTCTTAATATGAAAAATAAAGAGTAAATTTTTCTACATCATCTTTTTATTTATCATACTTCTTATATTATGGACAACAGGAGAAAATTGAACAAATTGCCCGTCTAGCTCAGTCGGTAGAGCGCAAGGCTCTTAACCTTGTGGTCGTGGGTTCGAGCCCCACGGTGGGCGTTTTGGTATTTCTTTTCCTTTTTTTTTTCTTGGTCAACTCTTTTTTGAATTATACACAATCTTTCTGGGGTCAAACAAGATCATACGTTAAATCTGGAGAATGCTATTGTGTTTCACCCAAAAACTAAAAGGAGAATGAAAGTTGATAGTTAAAAAGAGCAATATTGATCAATGACCAACAAAAATAAAAGGTACAATTGATCCTTTTGTAAAGGACATGACTAAAACTAAGTTCTATGGTCAACATATTTGTGTAATGATTAGTGGATATCATTGCGATTTGCAACTAATGTCAAAATTACAAAAGGTAAATTAGATTTTGCATTTATATATGTCTGAACCAAATTTCATTTTATTTTATGGTTTGAAAAAGCGAAGTGTCCTTGTCAGATTTCGATTCATAATCACTTTATCTCATAACTTTTTCTCGTTTATATATAAATGCTTTATTATCATAAAGATATATAATACGATCTTATAATAAAGAAAATTTACAACTTTTTTTTTGTCAAAGTAAATTTACACTTCAACATGAAAACTGCGGCAAAAGTTTGTCAATTGTGGACTACTAGGGAGAAATCCTTAGTGGAATCCTAGGTGCAAATAGAAGTCTTCTAATATTTTGTTTACAGTTCTATGATCCATTAGTTATATAGCCTCTCAAGAATGTAAATTTCAGGCTCTTATACATGGAATACGACTCACTGTTTTGATACCATCTTTTGCATGCTATTTTAATACTAAATAATTAGAGATTTAGAATCTCTGTTTCATGTTTTGAGAATATATGTACATCGAAATTTGGAAATTTGGGCAGCGGAAAGTTTGGAAAGCTATTGATGTTTTCTTAACTTTTTGTGGGAATCCTAGGTGCAATTAGTAGTTATGTGCAATTTTTCATGGACTTCTATGACGCATTAACATTAGCCTCAGAAGAAGGATAACTATAGCCTGATGATTTTGCACCATCATAGAATCCGATCAATTGTTTTGTTACAAGCTTAGGGGTCTATTGAATGCTATTGTAATGGTAACGATGAGAGATTTTAGAAAGGGTGTGTGTGTGTGTTTCCATGTGATTTTAATTCATTAGACTAGGCTATTTTAGCCAACCCGGTAATGCTTGCAACTTCTAGATCTACACACCCTATTTCATGCATTTTTTTTTTTTTTCATAATCTAATTTTAAAATTTATTTTTTCCGTAGCCATTTCCTCCCTCAATATATGAGGTCATGGTCGTTCTTTTGCTTTTGGAGAAAACCTATTTGTCCTCTTAGCTATGGTTGGAGTTGGACAAATTTGAAAGCTTATCGTACACACACACATGGACGTAGCGAAAAAATATTGTACCTGATTCCTACTTTGATTGAGAAAAACCAATTTGACTCTATTATAATTTTCTCTAATAATGGGGAAGTGGGCTTGAGAATATTTTGTATTTGTCCTGAATCTAAATTCAATCGCGATCCGGTAATAATAATAATAATAATAATAATAATAATAATAATAAAATCTGGTTCTTAATCTTTTGTCTTTTACTTATTTAAAGCTCTCATATATACAATTTAATTGGTAAAAAAAGGGGCAAGACAAGGACAAATTTCCTCACCCTAAGAATATTGGAGAAAAATAAGTAGGAGACAATGACTGGGGAGTTTCCAGGTTCCCCTGATAGGGGTGAGTTAGTACCTACACATTTTTTCATCCCTAGTTCAAATCAACGAAGTTGGGTGTAGGGGTAGTTCTTTTGGGGGAGGGCAAAACTA